ATTTCTCAAATTCGGCGGCACCCCTCACACAGATCGGCGGGGTCAGGGCCCCTAAAACACATGGGATTTGCTACTTTCCTCACATTCGGTGGCACCCCTCACGCAGATCGGCGGGGTCAGGGTCCAAAAACACATGGGATTTGCCACATTTGTGACATTCGGTGGCACCCCTCACGCAGATCGGGCGGGTCAGGGTCCAAAAACACATGGGATTTGCCACATGTCTGACATTATGTGACACCCCTTACGCAGATCGGCGAGGTCGCACCCCTCACCCAGATCCACTGGGTCAGGGTCCAAAAACATATAGGATTTGCCACATTTGTGACATTCGGTGGCACCCCTCACGCCGATCGGCAGGGTCAGGGTCCAAAAACACTAAGGATTTGCCACATTTCCGAAATTCGGCGGCACCCCTCACGCAGATCCGTAGGGTCAGGGTCCAAAAACACATGGGACTTGCCACATTTCTGAAATTCGGCGGCACCCCTGACGCAGATCCGTAGGGTCAGGGTCCAAAAACGAACAGGTCCCGACACTGCTTCACGGCGGCGCCCAGACCTCATGATTTAGCTTGTGCATCTCCCATTCTCCGAGACAGGGCGCTGGCGGCATGGGGCGAAGCCCTTACGGATTTCTTCCCCAAAGGTGGGGGGGGACCCTTCGCCAGTCTTCGTCCAGGAGGGGGACCGTTGAGCAGAGGCATGCATGGAGCACGGCTTGGCCCGCCTCCGACGTGGCAGAGGCACGAAGTTAACGAGGGCGAAACTTGCCGTCGCTCGGACGTCCATTCCCTGTGTTTTTCAGTTTCGTGCGTGGCTTTTTCGCCAAATGATCAAGGATGCTCCTCAATGGTCCTCGCCGAAGAAAAATGCACACGTCCGAGCGATGCCAGGGAAAGGCACTGCGCCTGTGGGCTGGCCTCGCCCCCGGAGTGCCCTGCACGCACCCGCGCCGCACGGCCTGCCCCCACGAGAGCATCCGCGAGGATCCTCGCGCAAGGGCCGCAGCCGCCGCCGCGGAACCGCCAACCGCTGCAGACAGGTGCACAGCCGGCGCCCTACGGTGACTTCACCGTGGCAGTCGTGAGCCCCGCGACGAAACGGGGTACGAGGAGCGAAGGAGGAGGGGAGGAGGGCGAGGAGGCGGGGGTGGAAGGGGGGGGGAGGGGGGGAGGAGCGAGAGAGGGGGGAGGGATGGGAGGCGACTCCCTCTACTCGATTCCCCTCCGTCCCCCTCACTTCCTTTGCAAGAAAGGGAGAGGATGGGGGAAGGGGAGGGGAAAGTCGTCAAGGCTTTAATGACTTCTGCTGCCCCTCGACTCGCGCTGGAGCGTCCACGACTTGCCCCAGATTTCCCTGGAGGTCTCTAAATTCTTGACGCTTCGCGTATCCCCACCAGCCATCGGTACGCGCGCGCCCCCGGCCAATTTGTAGCGGCCGCAGCCCGACCGTTACCCGCCGCCGCTGGCGCTTCCGCCCGCGGCTGTGTATGTATATATATATACATATATAAGGAAAAATCCTACACCAGGCACTCGAACGAAAAGCGCCGATGATCGGCAGCTGTTCTTCTCCCCCTCTTCCTCCTTCTCCTCCGCCTTCTTCCTCCTCCTCCTCATCTCCTCCTCCCTCTCCTCCTCCTCTTCCTCCCCCTCCTCCTCCTCCTCCTCCTCTTCCTCCGCCTCTTCCTCCTCCCTGGTGGCGTCTTGGAAGTATATTCGAACGGTTTGGTGGGCTCTTAGGCCTTGCGGGCGGGCGGGCGGCGCTCCGCCCGCCCGCGCGCAGGGCCCAAGAGCAATTGAGGCGTCGAGTAAGGGAGCGGTTAGGAAGAATCACATGTTTCTCGGGACAATCATGTGATCTGGCAGATAAAGAGAAGGGGGGCAGGAGTATCATAGTAGGCAGACACGGATGATGATGATGATGATGATGATGATGATGATGATGATGATGATGATGATGATGATGATGATGATGATGATGATGATGATGATGATGATGATGATGATGATGATGATGATGATGATGATGATGATGATGATGATGATGATGATGATGATGATGATGATGATGATGATGATGATGATGATGATGATGGGAGAGGACGAGGATGAGAAGGAGAGGAGGAGGAGGAGGAGGCGGAGGCGGAGGAGGAGGAAGAGAAGGATGAGCAAGACACATGACGAATATAAGAGCCTCCTAGGATCTCTTTTCGGAGTAGTCTTGGAAGTCTCTTGAGACGTCTGGGGAGCTTTCCAATGGCCTCAGGGAGACTCTTGAGGTTCCTTGGGAGTCTCTTGGGAAGCTGTTTTGGGAGGCTTGGGCTCCTCTTGGACCCGTCTGGGCGCCCTTGAAGGCCCTGCTGGGGCGCTCTTGGGGCAATTGTGGAGGACATCGGCCAAGGAAGTGGGGTTCCCTAATTACAGCCCCTCCCCAGGAGCTCCAAAAATCGCTTCCTGGACCCCTCTTGAATCGCTCTTGGAGCGCTCGTGGCCGCTCTTGGAGCCAGCCTGAGGCTCTCTTGGGCCCCTCTTGGAGCTATCTTGAGCCATCTTGGAGCCATCTTGACGCGTCGGATGTGCATCGCAAGCGAAAAAGTGAGAACACCAAAACCATTGAGTTTCCCTAGGGTGTTGAAGCATTTTGGCCTCTTGGATGCATCCTAATGATGCTCTTGTGGGCACTTGGAACCGTCTTGGGGAGTTCTTGGAGCGTCTTGGAACATCATGGGGACCACCTTGAGGCATCTTGCGCTATATTGAACCATCTTGGAGGTCATCTTGAGCTCCCTGAGGCCCTCTTGGAGCCGTGTTGGGCCGTCTTGGACGCTCTAACTACCCGCGCCCCCCCCTGTCCAGGTCAGTGGGGAGGGGGTAGGGGGAGGGGTAAACCCCTCCCCGAAGGGGAAGAAGGAGGGGTGGAAGAGGAAACGCTCTAAACCACCGACGCCCAGAGGGCTGGTGGGATTCACCTCGATGCATAGGGATGTACCTTGATTGGTCTGTACCTCGATGTATCTAGATTCGCCTCAATATATCTGGCTTGCTCCCCGCAAGTCGATTCGCGAAAAGTCGTCAAGCCATTGGGGATGAAGAGGGGGAGGGCAAGGAGAGAGGGGAGGGCGAGCAGGACCGAAGGGAGGAGAGGAGGAGAGGAGGAGGGGAGAGGAGAAGAGCAGCAGAGGGGGGAGGGGAGACGAGGAGAGGAGGAAGAGGTCAAGCCCTCGGGGATGAAGAGGGAGGAGAGGAGAAGAGGAGAAGAGGACGAGGAGAGGGGAGGGCGAAGGGGGAGGGCGAGCAGGAGCCGACGAGGCGAGGGGGAGGGGAGGGCGAGGAGGGCCCCGCTCGGCGTGCGCAGGCCTGCTCGAACACGTAGAGCTTGGGGAGCAGGTCGCAGTCCAGCAGCGTGGGCTCGTCGCCGCAGAGGAACTCGCGCGCCGCGGGCGGGGGGGGGGGGGGCCTCTCGCCTCCCTGGCTGGGAGGGGCTCCAAGCAAGACACCTCCCTCCCTCCCCCTCCCCTCCCTCCCCTCCCACCCTCCCCCTCCCCCCCTCCCCCCCTCCCCCCCCCCCTCCCCTCCCCTCCCCCCCACTCCCTCTCTCTCTCCCACCAGCCCTGGCCAGGCCCATCGTGCACAGGCCCTCCTGGCCTAGGCCTGGAGGTCTATACTCCAGTCCAGGCCCAGGATGGGCCTGGCCTGGCCAGGGCTGGCGGTGGTATTGTTGGCGTCCCTCCGTCCTACCCCTCAAACCTGGGCGGCGCAAAAAGAGAACAAATAAAAGACACGACGACCCATGTTTCGTGGTGTTCGGCCTCTGATGGCCGTCCCCTGGCCCAGAGACTGTCAAAAGACTTCCCCGGATCAAAACCCAGCCTCAAGGAAATAGTCCAAGGCCCGTAGCGCCGACGTCACGGAAAAATGGCAACGTCGGAGAGGAAGGGAATCGCCAACTCCAACAATCATCATCAAAATGTCCAGTCAGGCTGCGACAGGAGCGGAAAACGGCGAAAAACAGCAGCAGTCCCACTGGCCCAGCGGACGCAGTGAGGCGGTTGGGCGGGCCAGCTCTTCCAAAGAGCGGCCTCCCCTTCCCTTTTGGTGGAGGGGGGGCCTGAAAAGCAGAAAGGAAGAGGAGACCAAGGGAGGTCCCTGGTCTCTAGATGCCCTGGAGGCCACTGGAAGGCCCTTGAACCCATCAGGGGCCCGTGCACGCCAAGGGAGCCTGTGCAATCGCAGTGCTCGGAAGCCTTGAAATACCACAGCGGAAACCCCCTCTGGGGAAGCCCCACCCGTTCCAAGGCACACCAAAAAATCGCACGGTCACATCGACGTCGAGCTGGAAACACGACTGCATGTTTCCGTCCGTCAAAGCCCTGCATCGTCTTCCCTCCTCCCGCGCGCCTCCCCGTCCTTCCCTTTCTCCCTCCTGGTTTCACTATCCTCATCAAACCCATCATCCTCCTGCTTCCCTTCCTCCTCCTCCTCCTCCTCCTCCTCCTCCTCCTCCTCCTCCCCCTCCTCCTCCTCCTCCTCCTCCTCCTCCTCCTCCTCCTCCTCCTCCTCATCATCATCATCATCATCATCATCATCATCATCATCATCAGCATCATCGGCAGCAGCAGCAGCATCATCGTCAGCATCATCATCATCATCAGCAGCATCATCAGTATCATAATCCGTAGCCATTTTGGCTCAAGTTCCAAACGCGTCCCTGGCGCTTGGAGCTTGGATGCAGCCGAGGGGGCGGCTCAAAGCCCCCGCGCTTTCTTCAGTGTCAATCACTTCAGGCGCCCAGCGGCGCCAGGATCCTGCCCTTCGCTCGGTGTCTGGGCCATGGGGGGCAGCGGACGTCGCTTGCAGCATGGGTTCCAGAAGTGCTCCAAGTGCCAGTACACGTGGACGTGGCGCACACGTTCGGCCTGCTTCAACTGCGGCCACTGCCTCTCGCCCGCGTCCTCGCCCGCCAGGTCGCCTGATGGTGCTTGGTCCGACCGGGCAGCGAGCGCCGACGCAGCCGCTGGCCGTGCTCGGCCTGCCTCTCGGCCACCTTGGCAGGAGGCCAGGCTGCGGCCCGACACGCGGCAGGTGCGGGAGGAGACGCTGCTCGAGACCATCAAGCGCCGCAAGGAGGAGCTCCCCCTGGAGGCGTCCCAGGCCTTGGCGGGCCTCGAGGCGGCGCTCCAGCAGCCCACGGCCACGGCGCCCAAGCCCGAGCTGCCCGACGAGGCCGTCCAGCGGGCATGGGGAGCGGCGCGTCGTGCGACCAAGGCGCTCAACGAGGCCCTCGACGCCACCGAGGGGGCCCGCGCCTGGCTCGCCAAGTGCCAGGCCAAGGAGGACGAGCTTGCGGCGGAGTACGCGCTCGCCCTCGAGGAGCAGGCGAGGGCCATCGCACACGCCAAGGGCTGCCTCAAAGGCGAGCAGGCCACTCCAGCATCGGTCTCGGTCAACCTATCCTCCGTCCTCGAGGGGAGGGAGGGCCTCAACTTCGAGCTCGGGGTCGCCTTCGACCTCGACGGCATCTCGCTCACAGAGCAGGAGCAGGCCGACTGGGACAAAACGCTGGAGCAGTTCAAGCAGGACTTCACAAAGCAGGTGGAGGCGATGTTCAAGCCCGCGGCTGAGGAGCTCGAGAAGCGGAGAGAGGGCCTCAAGAAGATGCAGGAGGAGTTCCGCGCCAAGACCAAGAAGCGGCGGATGGACTCTGAAGCTGCTCGGCCTGCTGGTGAGCCTGACCCTCCTGGCGACGAACAGCGAGGCGCTGGGGGCGACGCAGCAGGACATACCAGCGACGCGGCTCCTGGGACGCCCAGCCAGCCTGAGGCCGCCCCAGCCCCCAGACAGCCCCAGCTGTCGGCAGAGCGGCTCGCAGAGCTCAAGAAGGCCGCGAGGGAGGTGCGCGGTCGCAAGCCAGGAGGCGACGCCAAGGAGAGCGCGCCCACAGCGTCTCCCTAGCAGCGGCGGGCGCCGTGGCGGTCGAAGCGCCTTGCAGCCGTTCACGTTCGACTCCGCCAACGGCTCAGGCTGGGGACCCCTCACGACCATATGGGGCAGGCCTCAGGAGAGGGCTCAGGAGCTGGCCAGGGAGGCCCATGCGGGTCAGTGCTGGTTGGCCCAGGAGACCCACCCACACGAGGAGGAGGCAACCCGCGAGGAGCAGTGGCTGCGCAGGCAGGGCCTGCGGGATGCCCTCACGCCTGGCACCAGCCACCCAGGCAGCCTGGACACGCAGCAGAGGATGGCCGCCTCGGGCGGCACAGGAGGTGTGGTCTGGGCGGCGCGAGGCGCCGCTCAGCCCTTGCGAGGCGCCGCCGCTGGGACCAGATCTAAGCACGTCCACCCTGGGCGGCGCACCTGCCTCCACACCGAGGGGCCCAAGCGAGGAGGAGTGCTGGCGGCCAGCGTCTACCTCGACATCGACCGCCAGGGGCCTGCGTCATGGGAGGTGCTGCGCACGCTGGGGCACGCGCTGAGAGCCTCGGGCAGGTCCTTCGCGATCGGGGGGGACGTCAACGTGGAGCCCGCCCTCTCCTCGGACGCGGCGCGTTTCTGGTTGGAGGCGGTGAGAGGCCAGGTCGTATGCAACGAAGAGGGCCTCGGTACCTGCCACGTCGCGGCCGACGCGCCGCCGTCCGAGCTCGACTACTTCATCGTGGCCATCATGTTCGACGACTGCTCCCTGCGCCACACTGGCTCGGAAGCGCAGGTGGGCATCATGCTAGGCAAGGCGGCGTGCGCCGTCTTCAGGGGCCTGGAGCGGGGCATAGGCGCGGTGGTCTCCAGGGACAAGAGCGAGATCCTGGGGACCACCGAGAGGTTGCACCGCCTCAGCGAGTACCACATGGACGAGGGCTCCTTCGCGCATGCCAAGGAGACCAGGAACTTGGGAGTGTGCTACGCCATGGGCGCCAGAGCTGGGGAGGTGGCTGCTGGCCGACGCCAAGCCGCCGCGGCCCAGCTCGGCCGTGCCCACCAGATACGACGGGCAAGGAAGGAAGCGGCAGCCAAGCTCGTCAATGCTGGACTTAAGCCCGCTACATCATACGATATCTCTTGTATAGCCTGGTCGTCATCGGCGCTGGCGAGATGGAGGTCCAAGCTCGCAGCCATCGCCTTCGGCACGGGGCCTGGCAGGAGCATCTGCTTCAGCTACCTGCTGGCCACGCAGCCGTGGGGCGACCCGCTCTTCAACCACATCGCCATGCCTATGGAGGCGTGGGCGAGGGTGCTGCAGCGGGTCAAGGAGCAGGACAGGCGCGCCCTCGGCTCGGCCTTCGCGGCGGCGCGCGAGCGCCTCACCGCCAGCGGGCCAGAGGGCCTGGCGGGAGGGGACCCAGCCTCCGCAGCGGCCCTTGCCGCGGCGCGCCGCGGCTGGAGAGCTGACCACATCAGGCGCTGGACGGACGACCTTGGGAGTATCCTAGACCCGCGCGGGACCGACAGGCACACGTTCCAACGCGAAGTACACGCTGCCTTCATCAGGAAGCTCTGGAGGGACGTGGCGAGCCACGACCGCTGCGGGGCCACCTGAAGGGCGGCGCGGCCATCAACGGCCTGAGGAGGCGGTTGGCGAAGCAGCTCGCTGACCACGCCGTTGCTTCGCGGTGGTCCTCGGCCAGGCAATGGGAGGCAGACGACCTCAACATCAGCTACTTCTACGACACAGGCGGCCCGCTGGACTCGGACGCGGAGCACGCCATCTGGTTGCGGCGCCTGGTCAAGGAGTTGCTGGCGGCAGTGGAGGCCTTGGCCCACTGTCTCCCGCCCGTGCACCTCTTCAGCGACTCGCAGCTGCTCGGAGACGGCTGGGAGGCAGGCGAGGATTGGTGCCTATGCTGGTCAAGACCGTACAGAGGCCTGTGGGCCGCCTTCTGGAAGCGGGTCCTCGACATAGGCAGGGACGCCATTCAGAACACAAAGGTGAAGGGGCACGCCACGATGCATGACGTCCTGGTCGGGTCCTCCACGGAGTGGAAGCGGCGGGGCAACAAGCTCGCCGACTTGAGGGCCAAGCAGGGCGCCAGCATCCACCCCACCTTCCCCGCGCTGATCGAGGTTGCGAGCATTGCCGACGAATGGAGTGAGAGCCTGGGTAGGATGCTCGGCCAGGCGCCGCGGGAGAGCAGCAGCTGGCTCACGGCGAGCGACGGCTACGCTGCGCCTGGCCTCCAGATAATTAGATGTGCTGCTCCTGGCTGCCGCCTGCGCTCGATCGCACCATGCGGCCGCTGCTCGGCCCGAGCGTGCGAGAGGCACGGCTCTTCGGCTCTCGCCGGGGCAAGACGCATCAGGTGCTGCCTCGGATGCGCGGCGAATGGCCGCCCTCTCCCCGCTTTTTCCCACCCGCCCCCGCCGCCACCGCCCCCGCCCGCCTCGGGAACCGAGGGCTCAGGCGCAGGCGCGGCCGCGCTCCTCGGCATCATAGCAGGAGCCGCCGCAGCGAGCGGGGGGGAGGCCAGCGGAGGAGGGGACGAGGAGCAGCAGCAGCAGCAGGAGCAGCAGTCTCCAGCGCAAGTTAGTTCGATCGAGAACCCTTCCAGCGAAGGGGCTCCTCCACCAGGGGGGCCACAGGGGGCGAGGTTGGGTGGGTCGCGGGGCCCTCCTGGGCCTGGTCCTGGTCTCGGGGAAACGTGGCCCCCCTGGTGGAACGCGAGGTTCCACCCGTCCCACAGGATGTGGCGGACGGGAGACCTAGCCTTTTGCGTGCGGTGCGGCGGGTACTGCCGCAGCCGTCGGGTCATGGCACTCGGCGACGAGTGCCCATCTCGGCCGCTCTCAAGCAGGCAGGCCGAAGGGCTCCGCAGAATGAAGCGAGGCCTCCACCCCACCAAAGGGGGGGTAGAGGCCAACCTCGGCGCCCCGTCCCCCCTCCCGCCGCGAGAGAGGTCGCGTTCGAGGGAGCGTGCGGGGAGCTGGGGATAATGTAGCAGCAGCAGGGGGAGTGTGCACGTCGGCAGCGGCCACCTTGGGAGAGCGGGATCATCAGCATCATAATCATCATCAGCATCATCATCATCATCATCATCATCATCATCATCAGCAGCATCATCATCATCATCATCATCATCATCATCATCATCATCATCATCATCATCATCATCATCATCATCATCATCATCATCATCATCCTCATCATCATCAGCAGCGGCAGCAGCATCAACATCAGCATCATCATCATCAGCCGCATCATCATCAGGAGCCGCATCAGCATCATCATCATCACCAGAAGTATCAGCATCGGCATCATCAGCAGCAGCATCAGCATCAGCATCAGCATCAGCATCAGCATCAGCATCATCATCATCATCATCATCATAAGCAGCAGTCTCATCATCAGCATCATCAGCATCATGATCAGCAGCAGCATCGTCATCATCATCATCATCATCATCATCATCAGCATAATCATCATCAGCAGCACCACAACCGCCATCATCGTCATCATCATCATCATCAGCATCATCATCATAATCAGCATCAGCATCATCATCATCATCATCAGCAGCATCATCGTCATCATCATCACCAGCAGCAGCATCATCAGCATCATCATCATCGTCACCATCATCAGCATCATCATCCACCACCTGTGAGATGCCGACTTCTCGTCCTGTAACACTGACCCTTCCTGTTCCACATCACTCCCTTTACTCTCCTTCCCCCACTCCTCCTCCTCCTCCTCCTCCTCCTCCTCCTCCTCCCTCCCTCCCTCCCTCCCTCCCTCCCTCCCTCCCTCCTCATCATCCTCCTCCTCCTCCTTCTCCACCTCCTTCAGGGAACAGAAAAACATTCAGGTCAGCGCTGTGCCCCAAGGGAGTTGCGTGAGAGCCCCTGAGCCGCCCAAGCACTGCCCTGACCAGTCAGTCGTGGAACTGCCACCTCAGGTCCACAACGAGTCAGATCAGTTTTCGGGCCTCCCGACGGGCATCACCTGAAAGGACCAGGGCGAACCGGACGCTGGCGAGACCCATTTCGTATCCCGATACTGTTCCCTCCCACCCTGCCCCTCCTCCGCATCATCGGCATGATCATCATGATCACCCTCGGTCCTTGGTGCGCTGCATGTGCATGTGGTTCCGCAAGCGAGTGAAGGCCTCGGCTGGGTGTCGCGGGGCCCAGCGGACAGCCCCGATCGTACTGACACGTGCGATCTGCCTCGAAAGCGCGCGTACTGAGGTTAAGCGCTGCTGCTCATGATTTGTGTACAAGCCCCACCTCCTCGCGCTGCGGGGGAAAAAAAAAAAAAAAACACTCACGTTCAATGTTTGACCAGTTTCGGCCCTCCCAGGGGCCCTCACAGGACCCCAGGACCGCCAGACTAAGAATCAGTATAGAAAGCCGGTGCTTAGGAAGAGGTCCAAACCTCCGTTGCGAAAAGAATGACGACGCCAGATTTCCGGGAACGGGTATGCGTCGAGGCTTCATCCCAAAGCTTCAAATGCACGTGCTTGATTCCATGACGTGGTCCGGACCTTCCGTGCTCGTGGTTTGCTTCAGGGCAGTTGCTCTAGCCATCTCAGGTATACAGTATGAGGGCGATGTGCACCTCCATATCGATCGAAAGGTTGCAGGCGACCTTCGACCCACGCACATCCGCGCCGCTGCTCTCGGTGTCCTCGGTGCCCCACGACACTGTTCGAAGGGGGGCGATAGAGGAAAACCAGCTCAGGGGGGAAACATCGAGCTTGAATCGGCGATGCATCTCCGATAGATCCGCGATAGTAGACAAGCGCGTTCCACTACTCGCAGAGTGACTTCTCGCAAATGGCCTGGATCCGCCGCGGAGGATCTACGATTCACTACGTCCTGGCAAACATGCGTTTTCCAGACGTTTGCGAGTAGCCACTTTGCGAGTAGTGGAATGCACTCCTTGAGATAAGCCCGCGATAGCAAAACCGCACGTTCCTGGGCGTGGCGGGCTATCAGGTCCCTATCGGCGATGGATGGGCAATTGGGTGTCGATGCTTCCCCCCCTGAGCCTACCCGCGTGGTTTTCGAGACATAACTCAAGCCTCTGGCGACTGTTCGGGATGACTGGGGCACCCTTGGAACGCTCTCGGCGAGGCGCAGCCGCCAGAAGGCATCCCGAGGCTGGAAAGCCTCCTGGAACCGACGAAAACCTCCAGCCCCTAACGTTGCCCCTGATTGTTTGATCTGGCCGATTCTGGGCCGCCGCCGAAATTCAACCTCGAATGCCAGTGCTGGGGTCGTCGCCGCGTCGACACGACGCGAAGCTACCGCACCATCCTTGGACTTTCTTCGGGTGCGGTTCCAGCGCGGCACGGTGCATAGCTGCTCGGTCCTGAGGGCCGAGCGGCACAGTGCACGCAAGTCAGCCGTGGATGCTGGGGAGGACGGCCCCCCTTCCCCAGCAGAAGCAGCGGTGACGCAGGGGAAAAGAGATGTAATGGTGGCAGTAGCGAACACAGGACCCTTGTGCGGGAAGCGGGAGGCGTATGATAGACCTGCAAGCCAAGTGGCGGCGGAAGGCGAGAGGACAGCAGCTCCCCCCGAAGCGGTTTGCGCGCCACGGGCTCTTGGAGCTGCCGCGGCCCTCCCCCAAGCCTATCACGGAAGGTGCCCTGACCTGGGCTCCGAGGCGCATCTTGCCGTGGCCACGAGTACACTTCAGACGGCCCCGCAGAGGCAGAGAGCACCACAGCACAGTGCTCTATCCTCCTCCTCCTCCTCCTCCTCCTCCTCCTCCTCCTCCTCCTCCTCCTCCTCCTCCTCCTATCCCTCCTCCTCCTCCTCCTCCTCCTCCTCCTCCTCC